GCAGACTGACCGTCGGCAACACCATTGCTGTGCCGGTCCCGGCCACCTCTCAGCTGTGGGAACAGGAGGTGAAAGCTCACAGCCTTCGTCCAGTATTTGTGTATTTTATGAACAAACACATTGGTTTGCTGGTCGAGGCTGCCTCCTATAGTGCCGGTTTGTTGTGTTCTGTTTGACGGAGACTTTGCGTACTTGTATCTCATGCTGGTAACTTGTTTAGATTTGCCAACCCTTTGCCATATTGAGCAGTTGGTTTGGGTGGTGTTGGGATGTGCCGCGGTTCGTGGCTGTTGTGTTAGCGTGTTTTATACTGGCGAAGGTCGCCAGCTTTCTTCCCCCGAGTAAAGAACTGCAGCCAATAGATGGAGAGAAAGCAAAAAAGGTATATTTTCTGAAAACAAACTCTTTAAATCTCAATCTAATAAAACCAACATCAATAAATTATTGATTACATTTGCCACCTATTACCCATCAGACACTGAAGCTCACTGTATGCTGGTTAGCTGGGCTGCGTGATGTGAAAGTGGGGGCTGTGCTGGGAGCTGTAGGTTAGTGAGGGCTGTAAGTTAGTGGGGCTGTGCTGGGGGCTGTGGGTTAGAGGGGTTGAGCTGGGAGCTGTGGGTTAGAGGGGTTGAGCTGGGAGCTGTGGGTTAGAGGGGTTGTGCTGGGGGCTGTGGGTTAGTGGGGCTATGCTGGGGGCTGTGGGTTAGAGGGGTTGAGCTGGGAGCTGTGGGTTAGTGGGGCTGTGCTGGGGGCTGTGGGTTAGAGGGGTTGTGCTGGGGGCTGTGGGTTAGTGGGGCTGTGCTGGGGGCTGTAGGTTAGAGGGGTTGTGCTGTGGGTTAGTGGGGCTGTGCTTTGGGGCTGTGGGTTAGTGGGGCTGTGCTGGGGGCTGTAGGTTAGAGGGGTTGTGCTGGGGGCTGTGGGTCAGTGGGGCTGTGCTGGGGGCTGTAGGTTAGAGGGGTTGTGCTGGGGGCTGTGGGTTAGTGGGGCTGTGGGTTAGTGGGGCTATGCTGGGGGCTGGGGGTTAGAGGGGTTGTGCTGGGGGCTGTGGGTTAGTGGGGCTGTGCTTGGGGCTGTGGGTTAGTGGGGCTGTGCTTTGGGGCTGTGGGTTAGTGGGGCTGTGCTGGGGGCTGTGGGTTAGAGGGGCTGTGCTGGGGGCTGTGGGTTAGAGGGGCTGTGGGTTAGAGGGGCTGTGCTGGGGGCAGTGCTGAGGTTATTGGGGTTGTGTCTGCAGGGCTGGGAAGGTTTTCAGGCGCAGTCTGTCCACCTCTGCCCGCAGGAAGGTGATCTCCTCGGCCTGGCTCTTTGCCAACTCCATCAGCCGACGTCGCTGCACAATCTCCACGTAGCGATTCTGCGCGATTTGCTGCCCGGACTCGTCTGAGGCTGACGGGGAAGGGAAGCCACGTTCAGTCTCCGGTGGGGATTGTACCCCAGCCAAGTGCGGCATTGAGGGCTTGCCGCCCACCACCGGCTGGGGCGACGGGGAGGCTGCCGTGGGGTGGGGGAGGGGGAGGCTGCCGTGGGTGGGGGACGGGGAGGCTGCCGTGGTGGGGGGAGGGGAGGCTGCTGTGGTGGGGGGGGAGGTTGCCGTGGGGTGGTGGAGGGGGAGGCTGCCGTGGTGGGGTGGGAGGGGAGGCTGTTGTGGTGGGGGAGGCTGCTGTGGGGAGGGGGAGGCTGCCGTGGGGTGGGGAGGGGGAGGCTGCCGTGGGGGGGGAGGCTGCCGTGGGGAGGGGAGGCTGCCGTGGGGAGGGGAGGCTGCCGTGGGGAGGGGAGGCTGCCGTGGGGAGGGGGAGGCTGCCGTGGGGAGGGGGAGGCTGCCGTGGGGAGGGGGAGGCTGCCGTGGGGAGGGGGAGACTGCCGGTGGTGGGGAGGCTGCCGTGGGAGGGGGAGGCTGCCGTGGGGAGGGGGAGGCTGCCGGTGGTGGGGGAGGCTGCCGTGGGGAGGGGGAGGCTGCCGGGGGTGGGGGAGGCTGCTGTGGGGAGGGGGAGGCTGCCGGGGGTGGGGGAGGCTGCTGTGGGGAGCAGAGTTGAAGCAGAGTTGGGGCTGGAAACTGCAGGTCACCAGGAATGTTCCTTATTGGGCCTGGCACGCGCTGGCCGCTACCCTGGGACCGCACCACGAGGGAGGGTGGAACGGACACTAATAATAATCCTTGAATTTGATACAACGCCTTATCATGTGGTGGGGAATTTCCTGTGAAGTGTAGTGAGTGTGTAGATGTCGCTGGTGTGCGAGAGAGGACTTACACATGGTATCTTGGATCTCTTGCCTCTCAGCCACCGAGATTTGCACCTCCTTCAGCTGCAGGGTCAGGCTCTTGTTCTGACGCTTTATTCGGCCCATTTGCTTCTCTAGGTGTTTGCCGACCCTTTTCTTCTCCTTCACGTCCTTCTCGTAGAACTGTATACACCGGCCGGTGGGTCACAACAACAATACTTTACACGGCGCCTTTCACATCAGGAGGATGTCCCAAGGCACTGGACAGTCAGGGATTTGGACCCGAACTCAGGGTTGGGATCAGGAGGGCAGGGAGGGTAAGGTGTGACCGAAGGCCCGGTTGATGAGGAGGGTTTTGAGATGGGCCTTGAAGGAGGCGATGGAGGGAGTAAGGTGAAGGGACTGTGGAATGGAGTTTCAAAGGATGGGGGGCAGAGGGGCTGAAGGCCCAACCACCGAGGTCAGGGCAGGGGACGTGGAGCAGGCGGAGCCCACTGAGCAGAGGGAGCGGACAGGTTGATAAGGAGTCAGCCAGTCACAGAGGTAGGAAGGAGCGAGGCAGTGGAGGACTTTGAAAGCGAGGGCAAGGATTCTGAACTCTATCCTCCGGGGATGGGGAGCAAGTGGAGCCGGGCGAGGGTGGGGGTGATGGGGAGACATGGGCTGCAGAGTTATGGATGATCTGCTGCTTGTGGAGGGAAGAATTGGGGAGGCCGACAAGCAGGGATACACCACATACAGAGGAAAGTCAATCCCTCAAAGTGTCCCATCAGACGAGCAGAAATAATAACATAACAATCCTTGTATTTGATAGAGCGAACTTATCACATTGTCGAGACATCGCAAAGTCCTTCACAGGATGTCCTGTAAAGTGTAGTGACTGTGTATTCTGTCAGCAGTAATGCAGCCGATTTGCGGCCAGCAATGTCACACAGTAAACCATGAAGTGAATGAGGGATTATATCTGGGGATTGTTGGCCAGGAGAACAACAACTACAAAATTACATTTGTCTAGCACCTTTCACATCGGGGGGAACATCCCAAAGATGCTGGGCAACAACAGCAACTTGCTTTTACATCGCGCCATCACGTAGGGTAGTGTCCCAGGACACCAGGAGAGAGAAACTCCCTTTCCCAATAGTGCCGCGGGAGTTTAATGTCCACCCGAACAGGGCATAGACTGGAGCTCATCAGTTTAACTTTAATCTCTTTACCTCTGATAGATAATGTGTTTGTCCCCCAGGACCGTCAGCCTGGACTGTGAGCTCACACACCCTGAACGGGTGTGTCCTCCAGTCACACAGTTAATGGGAGCTGCCGTGCGCCCCATGGTAACCCCTGACCGGGGGCTACAGTCAGACATTTCAGTGCCTTGGGACGTCCTCCCGACGTGACAGGCGCTATACAAATGTAATCTTGTTGTCGTTATAGCACATTTATGGCTGAGAGGGCACAGGCTGAGAGGGCACAGGTTGAGAGGGTACAGGTTGAGAGGGCACAGGCTGAGACGGCACAGGGGCTCACTCACCTTCTCCTGTTTTTTGAGTCTTTGCTCCATGATCACAATCTGATTGACCACACGGTTATCATAGTCCTGCTGCCTGAGGTACTGGGGCAGAGTGAGGTCCATTATAACATTAATAATAATTCTGACATTTCATTCAGCGCCTTTCACGTCAGGAGGACATCTCAAAGCACTTCCTTCACAGGATTCACTAAATGTAGTGACTGTGTGAACGTGGCAGCCAATTTGTGTACAGCTACATCCCACAAACAGCATTACACACCGTAATGACAGCATTACTCTACGCCCCAGTCCAGCTCTAGACCAGCAATATCCACTGTTAGTCTACACCCCCTGCTCTACCTGTGTGACACCTGCATGCTCTATACAGTCTCCACCTCTAGAATCGTACAGCACGAAAAGAGGCCATTCGGCCCATCGAGTCTGTGCCGCTCTTTGAATAGAGCAATGTAATGTCAATCCCACTCCCCAGCCCTTACCCCATAACCCCATAACCCTGCAGACGTTTTTAAGAGTAGTTATCGAATCGGCCTCGACCGCCCTTTCAGGCAATGCCTTCCAGATTCGAACAACTCGCTGCGTGAAGCAATTTCTTCTCACCTCCCCTCGGCTTCTTTTAGAGACTGTTTTGAATCTGTGACCTCGAGTCACCGACACACCCGCCAGTGGGAACAGTTTTTCCCTCTCTAACCTATCAAATCCCCTCATGATTTTGAAGACCTCTATTAGGTCTCCACGTAACCTTCTCTGCTCCAATGAGAATAATCCCGGCCTCTCCAGCCTTTCCTCATAATCAAGGTCCCTCATTCCTGGTACCATCCTCGTAAATCTCCTCTGCACCCTTTCCAATGCCTTAACATCCTTCCTATAGTGTGGTGCCCAGAACTGGGCGCAGTATTCTAACTGAGGCCTAACCAGCGTTTTATATCGGTTAATCATAACCTCCTGACTCTTGTACTCTATGCCCCTATTTATAAAGCCTAGTATCCCATATGCCCTTTTTACAGCTTTATCTCCCTGTCCTGCCACCTTCAAGGATTCATTTACCTGAACCCCCAGGTCTCTCTGTTCCTTCACCCCCTTAAGATTGTATTACCGCCTATATTGCCCCTCATTCTTTCTACCAAAATGTATTACCTCACATTTCTCCACATTGAAACTCATCGGCCATGTGTCGCCCATTTTACCATTCTGTCTATGTCTTCCTGCAGTTGGCTACTATCCTTCTCACTGTTTACCACCCTCCCTAACTTTGTGTCGTCCGCAAACTTGGAAATGGTACTTGCTATACCCAAGTCCAGATCATTTATGTATATTAAGAAGAGCAGTGGTCCTAATACCGATCCCTGGGGAACGCCACTGTACACTTCCCTCCAGTCAGAAAAGCAGCCGTTCACCACAACTCTCTGTCTCCCAGTGAGTTCTGGATCCATACTGCCACTGCCCCTTTTACACCATGGGCTTCTACCTTTCTTACAAGTCTTTCATGTGGCACTTTGTCAAATGCCTTTTGAAAGTCCATATAAACTACATCAACTGCACTCCCTGTATCCACCCTCTCCGTTACCTCATCGAAAAATTCTATTAGATTTGTTAGACAAGATTTGCCTTTAACAAATCCGTGCGGCTGTCCCTAATTAACCCATATTCTTCTAAGTGAAGATTTATTCTGTCCCGGATTATAGTCTCCAGGAGTTTCCCCACTCCTGATGTTAGGCTGACTGGCCTGTAGTTCCCAGGTTTATCCTTCTGTCCCTTTTTGTACAGGGGAGTCACATTGGCCACTCTCCAGTCTTCTGGCACCACTCCTGTGTCCAACGAAGATTGAAAAATTGTAGCCAAAGCCTCCGCTATTTGTACCCGTGCCTCCCATAGTAATCTTGGTTGCATCCCGTCCGGACCGGGCGACTTATCACCTTCAGCCCAGTCAACCTTTTCAGTACTTCCTCTCTGTTTATACTTATCCTATCCATTTCCTCTACTCTCTCCTCCGATACTGCGGCATTTGGTGCATCCACTTCTTTTGTGAAGACAGATGTAAAGTATTCATTCAGCACATCAGCCATGCCCTCCGCCTCCACAATAAGATTTCCCCCTTGGTCCTTAATTGGCCCCACCCCACCTTTAACTAACCTTTTTTTCTTGATATGTTTGTAAAACATTTTAGAATTCCCTTTAATGTTACCCGCTAACCTTTTTTCGTATAATCATTTTGCCCCTCTTATTTCCTTTTTCAAACCTCTTCTGCACTTCCTATATTCTATTTGGTTGTCTTCTGTATCTTGGGTTTGACATTTGTCATACGCCTCCTTTTTCTGCTTCATTCTAGATACAATTACCTTCGTCATCCAGGGAGGTTTGGATGCCCTACTTTTCCCTTTTGTGGGAATGTATTTATTCTGTCCCCGAGCTATCTCATCCTTGAAGACTTCCCACTGCTCTTTAGTTGTTTTACCTGCCAATCTTTCTTTCCAGTCCACCTTGGCCCGGTCCCTTTTTAACTCACTGAAATTTGCCCTCTTCCAGTTGAGTATCTTCACCTTAGATGGTTCCTAGTCTCTTTCCATATGCACTCTGAATCTAATGATTTTATGATCACTATTGCCCAAATGCTCTCACACTGAAACCTGCTCCACTTGCCCTACCTACTTCATTCCCCGGAACTAGATCCAACACTGCTTCCTTCCTCATTGGGCTGGAAACGTACTGATCAACAAAGTTGTCCTGTATGAATTTTAGGAATATTTCCCCCTCCTTGCCCTTTGCGCTGTTGTTTTGCCAGTCTATGTTGGGATAATTAAAGTCCCCCATTATCACGACTCTATTGGCCTTGCATCTACCTGTGATCTGCTTGCAGAGCTGCTCATCTATTTCCTTCCCACTATTTGGTGGTCTATAGTATACCCCGACCAGAGTAACAGCTCCTTTTTTGTTCCTTAACTCTAACCAGATAGATTCCGTTTTGGGGCCCTTCAGCACCTCGACCCTTTCCACGGCTATAACCGTATCCTTGATTAACAATGCCACAGCCCCTCCTTTTTTTCCTTCCCTATCCCTCCTGAATACATTATAGCCAGGAATATTCAGCTCCCATTCCTGGCCTTGCTTGAGCCAAGTCTCTGTTACTGCTACTACATCGTATCCCCTATGACTACCTGTGTAAGAATCTGTGTAACACTGTGTGCCCTGTGTGAGGCTGTGTGACACTGTGTGCCCTGTGTGAGGCTGTGTGACACTGTGTGCCCTGTGTGAAGCTGTGTAACACTGTGTGCCCTGTGTGAAGCTGTGTAACACTGTGTGCCCTGTGTGAGGCTGTGTAACACTGTGTGCCCTGTGTGACACTGTGTGCCCTGTGTGAGGCTGTGTGACACTGTGTGCCCTGTGTGAGGCTGTGTGACACTGTGTGCCCTGTGTGAGGCTGTGTGACACTGTGTGCCCTGTGAGGCTGTGTGACACTGTGTGCCCTGTGTGAGGCTGTGTGACACTGTGTGTGAGGCTGTGTGTGAGGCTGTGTGTTACTCTGTACCTCCTGGATCTCCCTGGTGATCAATAGCTTCTGGATGTCACGCGTTTTGTTGCGTAAATCTTCCATTTGCATCTTCATCTTCATGTGCTCCCACTCCAGCTGGATGATGCCCTTACGGAAATCCTTGCTCTCCACCATATTGGCCACTTTCTGTTCCCCGTATGTCTGGGAAACAACCACAAAAACTCTCACTGGGGGACAATACCAGAGGAACATGAGAGAATGGCAGGGTGGGACGGGGGGGTTGGGGTTGAAGGTGGTGCTATGGGCAGGGCTGTGGGCGCGGTGGCATTGTGGGAGGACCTAGGCAGGGCTGAGGTAAGGGGGTGGGGCTGTGGGCGTGGCTGAGGCTAGGGGGTGGGGCTGTGGGCGTGGCTGAGGTTAGGGGGTGGGGCTGTGGGCGGGGCTGAGGTTAGGGGTAGGGCTGGGATGTGGGCGGGGCTGAGTTTGGGGGTGGGGATGTGGACAGGACTGAGGTTGGGGGTGGGGCTGTGGGCAGGGCTGAGGGGTGGGGCTGTGGGCAGGGCTGAGGTTGGGGGTGGGTCTGTGGGCAGGGCTGAGGTTGGGGGTGGGGCTGCGGGCAGGGCTGAGGTTGGGGTGGGGCTGAGGTTAGGGGGTGGGGCTGTGGGCGGGGCTGAGGTTGGGGTGGGGCTGCGGGCGGGGCTACGGTTAGAGGGTGGGGCTGTGGGCGGGGCTGAGGTTGGGGGGTGTGGCCGTGGGCGGGGCTGAGGTTAGAGGGTGGGGCTGTGGGCGGGGCTGAGGCTAGGGGTTGTGGGCGGGGCTGAGGTTGGGGTGGGGCTGAGGTTGGGGGGTGGGGCTGTAGGCGGGGCTGAGGTTGGGGTGGGGCTGTGGGCGGGGCTGAGGTACCTGGATGGTGCTGTTGAGATCCTCCAGCACTTTCCTGTGGACCAGGATGGAGCTGGAGTAGTTGGGGATGAAGTTCCCGCTCTGCACCTCCACCTGGCCTTGCTTCAGCAGGAACTGGATCATGAGGTTCAGCTGAAACTGAGCCTTTGTGTCCCGCAGTCTGGAGAGAGGAAGACCACAGGGCTTTCATTACTCTGGAACGCTCTCCCTCTGTTCCTCTGCCTTGTCCAGCTCCTTCCCCACCTCTTTGACCGTGTCTACGCTCACATTCCCCCCGGCTCTGTGTCGTACTGTCAAGCGCCCTGAGACGCTACTCCGTGTGAGGGGCGCTGTATAAATGCAAGTTGTTGCTACTGTTGAGTACATTGCTCACGTTAAGCACCTGCTGACAGTCCAGTCCAGCCCGAGGTGGGGGCGACTGACAGCAGTGACCCGGCATCCACAGTGGCCAAACATTCAGAAATATTTGAACAAAATACAAACGGGTGTGACAGTGTCTGTGTGTGTGTGTGGGGGGGGGTGACAAAACGGACAGCCCTATCAAGAGAGCCGGGACACACAATGGGCCAAATGGCCTCTTTCTGCGCTATAAATGTCTGTCTGTAACTTCTGCCCCCAGCGCTGTGGAGCAGGGGCACGGCTGACTTGCTGAGCTGCTGTCTCAGGTTGCTGAGTTTCTCCACATATTTCTCATCCTCTTCCAGTCGCTTCTGCTGAAACGCCTGCATCTCGGCCAGCACCAGGGACTTCTGTTTCACCTGCAGGTACAGACACAGAGTCACTGGCTCCCAACTCACACACAGGCTGTGAGAGAGGAGCTCCTGAGAGGAAGAGGCCTTGAGGCTAAGTGTGTGTGAAGGAGGTTGTGGAGCGACCCAACTGTCCAGCGCCTTGGGACGTCCTCCCGACGTGAAAGGTGCTCTATAAATGCAATCTTGTTGTTGTTGTTGGGAGGGGGTCACTGAGCCCCTGTGGGGGGGCACTGAGCCCCTGTGGGGGGGCACTGAGCCCCTGTGGGGGGGCACTGAGCTCCTGTGGGGGAGCACTGAGCCCCTCTGGGGAGCACTGAGCCCCTGTGGGGAGCACTGAGCCCCTGCGGGGGAGCACTGAGCCCCTGCGGGGGGGCACTGAGCCCCTGCGGGGGGGCACTGAGTCCCTGTGGGGGTCACTGAGTCTCTGTGGGGGGGCACTGAGCCCCTCTGGGGAGCACTGAGCCCCTCTGGGGAGCACTGAGCCCCTGTGGGGAGCACTGAGCCCCTGTGGGGAGCACTGAGCCCCTGCGGGGGAGCACTGAGCCCCTGCGGGGGGGCACTGAGCCCCTGCGGGGGGGCACTGAGCCCCTGTGGGGGTCACTGAGCCCCTGCGGGGGGGGCACTGAGCCCCTGCGGGGGGGCACTGAGCCCCTGTGGGGGACACTGAGTCTCTGTGGGGGGGCACTGAGCCCCTGTGGGGGGGCACTGAGCCCCTGTGGGGGACACTGAGCCCCTGTGGGGGAGGGGGGGGGAGCACTGAGCCCCTCACCTGGTATTCACTCTCCACCTTGGCCCGGCGGATGTCACAGAAGCGCTGCCACACATCGGTGTCCACACCGTCCGGCAGGTGGTCAGGAACGTCCAGTGTGTCCATGGCCTCCATCATCTCAATGTGTGGATCCTTCCCCAGCAATAACTCATTATAGAACGGGTTGGCAGTTTCTGCTTCTGTCCTGGTTCTCTGTATCCTAAACACATCACAGCCTCATAGCCCCCTTCTCTCAGAGACCCCCCCCACTCATAGCCCTCTTCACTCATAGCACTCCCCGACTCATAGCCCCCTTCCCTCAGAGACCCCCCCACACTCATAGCCCCCTTCCCTCATATCCCCCCCCCATAGCCCCCTTCCCTCAAAGCCTCCTTCCTTCATCGCGTCCCACTCATAGCCCCCTTCCCTCATAGCCCCCCACCATAGGCCCCTTCCCTCAAAGCCTCCTTCCCTCATCGCGTCCCACTCATAGCCCCCTTCACTCAAAGCGTCCCCACTCATAGCCTACTTCCCTCATAGCCCCTTCCACTCACAGCCCCGTTCTCCTCATAGCCACATAGTGCTCAGGGTTGGAGTACCCGGGGTTGGAGTACCCAGGGATGAGGTGCCCGGGGAGGGGGTGCCCAAGGATGGGGTGCCCGGGGGCCTGTGGGCACTCACCGGGGCCTGCGTTTGAACTGTTTATACAACTGGTCGACTGTGTGGGCATTCAGTTCAAAAAACTCTTTCCTGAATCCACGATCCAGCAGCTGCACAGAAAGACAGGGTCAGCGGTCAGTGTTGATGATCAGCCAGTGGGTCAGCGGGTTACTGGGTCAGTAGGTTAGGGTTAGTGATCAGCCAGTGGGTAGCAGAGGGATCTCAGTGCTGGCTATCTCCCTGACACAATAACGGGGTTACGATGCTTTATCACAGTGTCGAGACTGCTCAAGGATTCACTGTTAAGTGTAGTGACTGTGTTTCGAGGCGATCGTAAACCACACAACATGCCCGACGTCTCGAAACGACTTCAGGATCTGAAAATGTCACTGTTGCCCTGGTTGTGAAGTATCAGTGTGACGCGTGTGTGAAATGACTGGAACCCGAAGGAAAGCACATTATCGCACAAATATAGCACAAGTGTAACATGATGACAGTGTGACACGGTGTGAGCGGTGAGGTCAGTGGGCTGTTGATGTGCCGGGAAGGGCTGGTTGCCTCTGTCCTCGGTCTTTACCTTGTCTTCAGCAACGAGGTCATCATAGGCCTCTCGATATTGGTCCACCTGAACCTTGGTCTCCAACAAGCGCTGTTCTGACTCCTCCTATCAGAGGGAGAGACCGTCAGTCACAACACCCCCACACTGCCCTCAGTCCCTCACTGTCAGTCACTACAAACCCACACTGCCCTCAGTCCCTCACCGTCAGTCACTACAAACCCCCACACTGCCCTCAGTCCCTCACCGTCAGTCACTACAAACCCACACTGCCCTCAGTCCCTCACCGTCAGTCACTACAAACCCACACTGCCCTCAGTCCCTCACCGTCAGTCACTATACCCCCACACTGCCCTCAGTCCCTCACCGTCAGTCACTATACCCCCGCACTGCCCTCAGTCCCTCACCGTCAGTCACTATACCCCCGTATTGCCCTCAGTCCCTCACCGTCAGTCACTATACCCCCACACTGCCCTCAGTCCCTCACCGTCAGTCACTATACCCCCACACTGCCCTCAGTCCCTCACCGTCAGTCACTATACCCCCACACTGCCCTCAGTCACTATACCCCCACACTGCCCTCAGTCCCTCACCGTCTCAGCCTTAAGACCATCGTCGCCCACAAACTCAGTCAATTCACTTTATAGTATATCCTGTGAAAGCGTTTTGAGATGTGAACTGTGTCAGGTGATCGAGCACAGGGAGTTGTGATCAAATTGATATGTCTGGACGTGCCGGTGGTGGGGGGGCAGTTGATGTGACTGGACGTGCTGGGGGTGGGGGGCAGTTGATGTGACTGGACGGGGTGGGGGCAGTTGATGTGACTGGACGTGCTGGGGGTGGGGGGGTTGATGTGACTGGACCTGCTGGGGGTGGGGGGGTTGATGTGACTGGACGTGCTGGGGGTGGGGGGGTTGATGTGACTGAACGTGCTGGGGGTGGGGGGGTTGATGTGACTGGACGTGCTGGGGGTGGGGGGGTTGATGTGACTGGACGTGCTGGGGGTGGGGGGTTGATGTGACTGGACGTACTGGGGGTGGGGGGTTTGATGTGACTGGACGTGCTGGGGGTGGGGGTGTTGATGTGACTGGACGTGCTGGGGGTGGGGGGTTTGATGTGACTGGACGTGCTGGGGGTGGTGGGGTTGATGTGACTGGACGTGCTGTGCGGGGTGGGGTTGATGTGACTGGACATGCGGGACGGGGGTTGATGTGACTGGACGTGCTGGGTGTGGTGGGGGTTGATGTGATTGGACGTGCGGGATGGGGGTTGATGGGACTGGATGTGCGGGATGGGGGTTGATGGGACTGGACGTGCTGGGGGGGTGGGGGGGAGTTTGGGTGACAAACCTTCTGCTTGATGTTCTTGTTGATGAGGTAGTTGAGTTCTGCCTCCCACGTGTTGATCTCCTCACAGCACAGCACAATCACAACCAGGTTAGTGATCTTCAGCTCCTCCTGACAGACAGGGACACGTCAGTGTAGTCAGTGACATGGTCCGTGTGGTCAGTGACACGGTCAGTGTAGTCAGTGTGGTCAGTGACATGGTCAGTGAAATGGTCCATGTGGTCAGTGACATGGTCCGTGTGGTCAGTGACAGAGTCAGTGCGATCAGTGACATGGTCAATGCGGTCAGCTCGGCTGAAAACCTTTCTTTTCGACCGGGCCTTTGGTCACCTTCCAAATTGTTCTTGTTGTTGTTGTTCAATGTGGTCAGGGACACGGTCAGGGACACGGTCAGTGCGGTCAGTGACACAGTCAGTGTGGTCAGTGTGGTCAGGGTCACGGTCAATGTGATCAGCAACACGGTTAGTATGGTCAATGTGGTCAGTGACATGGTCAGTCTGGTCAGTTACCTGGGCAGTGTGGTCAGTGACAGAGTCAGTGACATGGTCAGTGTGGTCAATTACACAGTCAGTGTGGTCAGCAACACACCACAACAACAACTTGTATTTACATACAGACAGCTGTTACCTGGTAAATGATCATTTCACTCTTTATTTTCTTGTCAAACAGTTTGGCAAAGACATCGTCGAAGGCGTGTGTGGCCTCCGTCACTGAGGCCTGCAGTTTCCTCATCTCTGACTCCAGTGTCTGGGAAAGACGTTTCTAATCAGCATCGCACACGTGGGAAATCACACTCACTGAGTGCGCCTCACATCCATGCTGCCTCTGAGCTGCAAGTGCTCACCACGTGTGTGCTATGTGTGCAATGTGTGGCAGCAAGGCCCACACTGGGGTCGGGTCTTACCTTGCGGTACTTGTCTTTCTCTTCATTGAGTTCCTGCTCTTTGATCAAATGCTCTTTGGCCTGGCGCTTCTGCTCCTCTGTCCATTCATAGTCCGGCTTCATCATGAATGGTAACGCAGGTAGTTCCTGTCACACAACCAGTGTCACATACCCACACTATCCCAGCCCAGCCACACACAGTTACACAGCAAAGTTCCCTCTACACTGTGTGTCCACACTCCCAGGTCAGGGTTAGAGACACAGTAACGCTCCTCTACACTGTGTGTCCACACTCCCAGGTCAGGGTTAGAGACACAGTAAAGCTCCCTCTACACTGTGCGTCCACACTCTCAGGTCAGGGTTAAGCTCCCTCTACACTGTCCATGACGTCCTCCCGACGTGAAAGGCGCTCTATAAATGGAATCTTGTTGTTGTTGTTGTAAATATTCAGACTTATAGCAGAAGGAATCTCGTGGCTGTGATATGCTACAGACATGGAGATGTTTGTCAGGTTTAAAAGCTGTCAGAGTGAGACTGTGGGATACACGGGAGGGATTTAACAAGCAGAACGAGTGCAAGTAACAGGAACCGAGGTCCTCACCATCTTCAGAATGTCGGACTTCTTCACCTCCAGTACTCCCCCCATCATGTCCTGCAGGGCTCGCTCTCGCAGATTGTCAGCCTGAGGAGACAGAACTTACCTCTGTCACACACACACCCTGACTCACACCCTCACACACACACCCTAACTCACACCCTCACACACACCCTGACTCACACCCTCACACACACACCCTGACTCACACCCTCACACACACCCTGACTCACACACACACCCTAACTCACACCCTCACACACACCCTAACTCACACCCTCACACACACCTTGACTCACACCTTCACACACACACCCTGACTCACACCCTCACACACACCCTGACTCACACCCTGACACACACCCTGACTCACACCCTCACACACACCCTGACTCACACCCTCACACACACCCTGACTCACACCCTCACACACACCCTCACACATACACCCTGACTCTCACCTTCACACACACACCCTGACTCACACCCTCACACACACACCCTGACACACAAACCCTGACTCACACCCTGACACACACACCCTCACACACACACCCTGACTCACACCCTCACACACACACCCTGACTCACACCGACACACAAACCCTGACACACAAACCCTGACTCACACCCTCACACACACCCTGACTCACACCCTCACCCTAACTCACACCCTGACACACACACCCTGACTCACACCCTGACACACACACCCTGACTCACACCCTGACACACACACCCTGACACACACACCCTAACTCACACCCTCGCACACATACCCTGACTCACACCCTCACACACACCCCCTGACTCATACCCTCTCACACACACCCTAATTCACACCCTCTCACACACACTGACTCACACCGTCAGTCACACACACACCTCGACACACAACCACACCCTCAACATTGGCAGCACCTCCCAACCCACAACACACCACAATAACCACCTCACACAGCAGCCCAGCCCCAGCCCCCTTGGTCCCTGATCGCTGGTCTACGGCCAGTCCCCTCAGGTCTCCTTGGTGCCGGTCACCATGCCCTACCTTGGCCGCCAATCGTCGCTGTTCCTCTGCGATGGCCTCTTCCTGCAGCCTGCGCTGCTGCTCCGGGGTCAGGTATCTCTCCGCCACTATCTGGGTACAGACACACATACACAGTCAGTGCAACCCCCAGCTACTGTCTGAGGACAGACGCAGACACATACACCCACCCACACACACACACATACAGTCAGTGCAGCCCCCAGCTACTGTCTGAGGACAGACACAAACACAGAGTCAGTGCAGCCCCCATGTTCTGTCTGAGGACAGTCATAGACACACAAACACACACACAGAATCAGGACAACAACTTGGATGTATATAGCGCCCTCCACGCTGGACGGCGTCTCAGAGTGCTTCACAGTAACGAATCCCCTGGCTTATGTTCCAGGCTTTTCCTTTTGTCAACGTGGTCTTAACCACCCCTAAAAACGCCGTCCCACCCACTTCTGGCTTCAAACTATTCCGCGGCAAGCGCTTTCGTACTTTCAACTTGATCGCACATAACAGTATCCTTTTAAAGTCTTTTTCCTCCAATTCGAGGTGACAATCTCTAAACAGCTCGTATTGCTGATTCAACTCAGTGGGACGAGTTTGTTCTGTGATCGTGCCGAACTCTTGCACATAAGCCACTACTTCCTCGGGTCTTAGTGCCTGACTATGTGTCTCCTCCCTATTGAAAAGCCTCTTGCTGATCTTCCCCATCAGACACCTGACTCCTCGTCTGCATTGGGTGAACCCGGCTCCGAGTAGTAGTGATGACCGCTACTGACTTTCCTGATTCTTCCATCCACATATCCGAATATATTTTATCTACTTTGTCTATGGCGGTTTTGACATTTCGATTATTCCCAATTGTTCCCTCTGTCTTAATGGCCCATACTATAGCCTGCTTGCCCGTTAGCATCTCCTTTAGTTTCTCTATTTCTTTTCCACACTGAGTGTGATCTGTCTCAGTGGCTGAAGGTCGGTTAATTAAGGTGTTAACTGCTCCATTGGCTGCATTCAACTGGATGCAGCGCTATTCTCCTTTCTTCATGCTGTCCTCTCTCTAGCTTGGCTCGGCTGATTTCGCCTTGCATTATGTGTAAGGTGGAGGTTAATTCTATTATCTTTCTTTCCTGATTCTCACATACTCCTTCCATGCTCCACAATTCTTCCTCCATGTCCTTTTTGTCTGACAAAGTGATCTTTAAACCTTTTTGTATTTCTGTCATCACTTCTTTGAGCTGTTTTGTCTTAGTTTTCATACCCCCTATTTCCTGGTCCTTACTGTCTTGTAATTGTTTGGTTTTAAGTTTCAGATCCTCTATCTCCGTATCCTTACAATCTCGTAGTTGTTTTAACTCAAAGGCTTTACACTTGTATTCCCTCAACATCCAGTATTTCAAAAAGTTTTTACATCTTTTTCCCCAATTTTGATGTTACCTACTGACACTTCTTCCTCTAACCATTCTATACCATTTTTCTGGCTCATTTCCTCACGTATGTCCTCTAGTTTTAGGCCTGTTTTCTTGCATATTTTCTCTTCATATTTATTCAGCCATTGTTGAAAATTATCTTTCAATTTTCGCTCTTTCACATCAGTCATCTCGACAATAGAATACCCGAGATACCAACAACCACAAGAGTGTGATCCACTAAGTGCGCTACCATGTGTGGGTGGGTTTGTCTATCACTTTGAATAAAAAATAGCCTTATTGCTTGTCGGGTCCCTTCGTGGTCACCAATTTGTTGGGATTTCCGATCCCGCAGTTCGGAATATGACCCGACAATCCAAAATGGTGCAATAATTCTTTTATTATAAGACAGTGGGCTTAACAGTGTGTAAAGAAGAGCATACTATAGGGGAATCCCTTTATCTCCAACAGGGGGAAGGTGACCAAAGGCGCGGTCGAAAAGAAAGGTCTTCAGAAGGGACCTGAAAATATGAAGAGAGGGGGCGAGGTGAAGGGAGTGAGGAAGGGAATTCCAGAGCCTCGGGGCATAGTGGCTGAAGGTACGGCCGCCGAGGGTGGAGCGGAGGACTCGGCGGACGAGCAGGAGGCCAGACCCGGAGGAATGAAGGCAACGGGTACTGTTTTGAGGAGAGAGGTCAGAGAGGTAGGGGGGTGCAGAGGAGTGCAGGGATCTTGAAATCGATCCTCTCTGGGATAGGCAGCCAGTGCAGTCTGGCCAGGACTGGGGGGATCGGGGAGTGGAGTTTTGTGCGGGTGAGAATGTGGGCGGCAGAGTTTTGAATGATTTGGATTTTATGGATGGTAGTGGATGGGAGACCGGCGAGGAGGGCGTTAGAGTAGTCCAGCCGAGAGATGACAAAGGCATTGACCAGGGTTTCAGCAGCTTTTGAAGAGTGGAGGTATTTGAGAAGACGGGCGATGCATCCGAGGTGGAAGAAAGCGGTGCTGGTGAGGGACCGGATGTGGGGGAGGAAGGATAATTGGGGGTCAACCTGACGCCTAGGTTGCGTACGGGTTCGGAGAGTTTTAGGGGGAGGTCGGGTAGATGGAGGAGGAGAGCCATGGGATTTGAGACGTTGACGAGAGCCAAAGAGTATGGCTTCTGTCTTGTCGATGTTCAGTTGAAGGAAGTTTGCGCTCATCCAGCCCCTGAGATCTGACAGGCAGCTGACAGAACATCAGGGGACTGGGGGTCGCAAAGAGAGGTGGAAAAATAGAGTTGGGTGTCGTCCGCGTAAATGTGGAAATGTACCTCATGTCTGTGGATGACATCCCCAAGAGGGAGCATGTAGATCAGAAAGAGGAGGGGACCAAGGAAGGATCCTTGGGTATCCTGCAGGTAACCAGGGGAGCGGGAGGAGAAGCCATTTGTGCAGATGTATTGCTGGCGGTTTGTGAGGTAGGACTCGAACCGGGCGAGTATGGTCCCACTGAGGTGGATGATGGGAGGAAAGGCGGTGGAGGAGGATGGAGTGATCGACTGTGTCGAAAGCCGCAGAGAGGTCCAGGAGGACAAGGAGGCAGAGGGAGCCCTGGTCACAGATAGAGAGGATGTCGTCTGTGACTTTCACAAGTGCAGTCTCTGTACTGTGGGCGGAAACCGGACTGGAGGGGTTCGAAGTGGGAGTGGGAGGAGAGGTGTGCGTGGAGTTGATTGGCAACAATGCGTTCTAGGACTTATGCGAGGAAGAGCAGGTTAGAAATGGGGCCATAATGGCTGGGGTTTGAGGGATCTAGGGAGGGTTTTTTTGAGAAGGGGGTGATGACAGCAGTTTTGAGGGGGGCAGGGACTGATCCGGAGGAGAGGGACTGGTTGATGACGTCACCCAGTAGTGGGCAGAGGAGGGGGAGCTGGGTGACCAGCAAGTTGGTGGGGAGGGGGTCGAGGCAGCAGGTGGTGGGTTTCATGGAGGTGATGGAGGGTGAGAGGGAGGAGGGAGAGATGGGGAGGAAGGAATGTAGGATGGGGGTGGTGGTAGGAGCAGATGATGGGGAAGGTGACAGGGACAGAGAGGGCATGGTGGTGGGTGACAAGGGGCAGGTGGATGAGGCTGCCTGGTGGATGTTTTAGATTTTAGATGGTGGATTTTAGATGAGAAGAAGTCCATGACCTCCTCGCACTTAGCATTGGATATGAAGATTGAGGAGGCCTGAGGGGGGGGGCACGGAGGAGTTAGTGGGTGGTGGAAAAAAGATCTTTCGGGTTGTGTTTAGCCTCCAAGATGATGTTGGAGTAAAAGCTGGTGTCAAGGAACGGCAGTAGCTGTGGAGATGCTCAAGCCACAGTTGGCGGTGGACTGTCAGGGCCAGTTTTCCGCCATCTGCGCACGAGCAGCCGGGTTTGGGTTCTTAGGGAGCAGAGATGGTTGTTGTACGAGGGGGATCGGGTGGGATTGGTAATAATAATAATCCTTGCATTTGATATAGCGCTTTTCACGTCTTCTCGACGTCACAAAGCTCTTCACAGAACACACTGTAAAGTGAATTGACTGTATATTTGTGGGCGAACGCGGCAGCCAATTGCACACAGCAATGTCCCACAAACTGAAAATGACCAATTTATTATTGTTTTTGGTTTTGGAGGGAGTATTATTAGGCTCTGTGTGGAGTAAGGAAATTTGCCCAAGGTTTCCCGCTGCCTGGAATTGAACTCAGGTCTCTCACTTGCAAAGCGAGTGCTCCAACCACTGAGCTACAGGACTCCAGATGGTTCTGGATTTCTGGGGGATGAGGGAGTTGAAGGTGGAGGAGAGGCGATCATGGAGCAGCTGGACGGCTGCTTCAGGATCTCCGCGGGTGGAAGGCCAGAGGGATAGGTTATTTGATGAAGTGAGGGCCCTTGTGAGGGTCTCAGGGGGTAGCCTTTTCCAAGGGCGGTAGAGGATGGTTGAGGGCTTGGTGGAGGAGAGAAGCATGTGAGAGAAGGAGATGAGGAAGTGGTCCGAGATGGCCTTGTCCACAATGCTGAGGTCGGAAATGTCAAGGCCGTGGATGATAACGAGGTCAAGGGCATGACCACGGTTGTGGGTAGGTGAGTTTATGTGAAGGGTGAGGTTAATGGAGGAGAGGAGGGCAGTGAAGTCGGCAGAAGTAGTGCAGGGGGAGTTTAGGTGGAGGTGGAGGACAGCCTACAGTTACTATCTGAGGACAGACAGACACACACACATACACATACACACACACACAATCAGGGTAGCCCCCATGTGCTATCTGAAGACAATAACGGAAACACACAGAATCACAACACACACACAGTCACACAAATACATGGTCACACACAGTCAGGGCAGACCCCAGGTACTATCTGAGGACAGATACACACACACACAGTCACAGCCAGTCAGGGCAGCCCACAGGTAGTCCCTCCGGAATATCGCCAGACTACGGCACTACCTCACCCCTCACGCTGCTGAAACCCTGGTTCACGCCTTTGTCACCTCAAGGCTGGACTATGGGAACTCTCTCCTCGCGGCCTTCCTGCCACCTCCCTCCACACTGCAGGTCATCCAGAACTCTGCAGCTCGTGTACTGTCCCGCACCAGGCTTCGGGACCACATCACTCCCACCCTCGCTCGCCTTCACTGGCTCCCCATCCCCCAGAGGATTGATTTCAAGATCCTCATCCTCACCTACAAGGCCATTCACGGCCTCGCTCCCTCCTACCTCTCCAACCTACTATCCCCCTACCTACCTGCCCGTACCCTCCGTTCCTCTGGCTCCGGTCTGCTCCACATCCCCCGCCCCAACCGCCCTACCATCGGTGGTCGGGCCTTCAGCCTCTCAGCCCCGAGGCTCTGGAACTCTATCCCCAGTGCCTTCGCCGCTTCCTCCCTCTCCTCCTTCAAGGCCGGTCTCAAAACCTTTCTCTTTGACCGTGCCTTCAGCTCCTCTCTCGACTCTCTTCCCCCTCCTCGCTCCCTCCCTTCCCTCACCCTGACCATTTCCCCCCTCCTCGCTCCCTCCCTTCCCTCCCTCACCCTGACCATTTCCCCCCTCCTTGCTCCCTCCCTTCCCTCCCCTCACCCTGACCATTTCCCCCCTCCTCGCTCCCTCCCTTCCCTCCCCTCACCCTGACCATTTCCCCCCTCCTCGCTCCCTCCCTTCCTCCCCTCACCCTGACCATTTCCCCCCTGCTCGGGTCATGACCCAACTGTGCAGCGCCTTGGAACGTCCTCCTGACGTGAAAAGCGCTTTATTAATGGAATCTTGTTGTTGTTGTTGTTGTTGTAGTATCTGGGTACACACACACACAAACACACAGACAGGGCAGCGCACAGGAAATCACATAAAATCTGGATTCATCATAATAATATAAATAATATTAACAGTGATAGTCCACACATTTGCTACTCCACTGAAACGACTGTGTGTGTTATGGGCGATTGTAACAGCCTATATTTACACAACAATGTCCCACAAACAGCCATGAAGCCAGTCACTGATTGAGGCCAGCAACACATGGCTCACAGGCTCTGGAAGTGGGAGAGGCTCTGGCTGGGGGTGGGAGAGGCTCTGGGGGTGGGAGAGAGTCTGGGGGTGGGAGAGGCTCTGGCTGGGGGTGGGAGAGGCTCTGGCTGGGGTGGGAGAGAGTCTGGGGGTGGGAGAGGCTCTGATCACCATTACCTCAGAGTCCTGGACTTCAAGATCTCGTTCTGGCTTCTCATTGTTGCTCATGTGGGGCTCTGAGATATCCTCCTTTATGCCGAGCTGGTCCATGATCTCCAGGATGCGATTGTTCTTGGAGGTGACCCGAGCAATTTCCTGCTCTTTCTGCTTGTAAACAACCTCAAACTCCTTGTTAAACTCCATCTTGATGTTGTGAATAATATTCTGCGGAGAGACAAGCAGCCAGTGTCACTGCTGACTGAGGGAGACAGGTTCACACTCAAAGTCCTGTAGCTCAGTGGTTAGAGCACTCGCTTTGCAAGCGAGACACCTGGGTTCAATTCCAGGCAGGTCAGGGCCAAACCTTGGGCAAGTTTCCTTACTCCACACAGAGCCTAATAATAATCCCTCCAAAACCAAACACAATAATAAATTGGTCATTTTCAATCCACGACTGTTTGTGGGACATTGCTGTGCGCAATTGGCTGTCGCCTTTGCCCACAAATATACAGTCAATTCACTTTACAGTCTATTCTGTGAAGCGCTTTGTGACGTCGAGAAGACGTGAAAAGTGCTATATCAAATGCAAGGATTATTATCATTTTATTATTATTAAAGCAACACTCACAGCAGTGCCAAAACAAGCACAGAGTAATGCCACACAGTGTGTACGGTCCTGCAATGCAGTGGTTAGAACACTCGCCTCACAAGCGAGAGGACCTGGGCAAGGCTGACCTTCAGCATACAGATTTGGTTGAGACGCTCCTCCTTGGTGTGCATGTGGAACTGGCTGTACAAGTGGGGGTTACTCAAGCCATACTCCCCACTCAGGCTACCCAGCAGAGCCGTGCTCTCGCTCTCTGTCATATCTTCCTCATCACCCTCCTCCTCATCCTTCTCCGGTTTCACCGCAATCTCCACAATCTCTTTGCGAGCCTGAGGATAGAAGAACATAAGAATTAGCTATGTGAAAGAAGACCAAGGTCCATCTATTTCACCTTCCACCAACCTGGCAGTTTCTTGACATGTTTGCCTCAAACTATATATTGTATCTATCCCCAGATAATATTTCCCAACAGAAAGACATCTCATTTGTTCGTGACACAAACAAAACAGGACGGTGAACACCACACTGTTACTGTCTCATTGCTGGGACAATGACCCTTCCAAACACCCCTCACTCAACCAACCATGCAGCCACCCTGGGGGGGTTGGTGAGGGGAGGAGAGGAGGAGCACTGGGACGGGGGAAGCGCTGGGACCGGGGTGGGGGGGGGAACCACTGGGACGGGGGGGGAGGGGTGAGCACTAGGACGGGAGTGGGGGAGCACTGGGACGGGAGTGGGGGAGCACTGGGACGGGGGGGGAGCACTGGGACGGGGGGGGAGCACTGGGACGGGAGTGGGGGGGAGAAATGGGATGAGAGGTAGGGGGAGCACTGGGATGGGAGTGGGGGGGAGCACGAGGACGGGAGAAGGAGCGATGGGACGGGAGAAGGGGGAGCAATGGGACGGGAGGGGGAGGACTGGGACGGTGGGGGGAACTGGGACAGGAGGGGGGAGCATTGGGACGGGGTGGGGGGAGCACAGGGACTGCCGGTCACCGTGAGGTCAGCGATCTCGGTTTTCCTCAGGAGAAGGATTCTCTTCAGTAGCTTCATTTCCCCCTCGTCCTGGGACCTCATTGGGTAATTGGTCACCTCCAGCCCTGAGTGGAAGGCCTGAAAGGGTAAAATTGTGGTCAATCAGAGCCCTGACGCTCACTCACCCCCCCCTCCCACCGACACCCCACCCCACTGACAGCTATCCCCACTCACCCCCCCCTCCCACCGACACCCCACCCCACTGACAGCTATCCCCACTCACCCCCCCCCCCTCCCACTGACAGCTATCCCCACCCCCCCCCACTGACAGCTATCCCCACTCACCCCCCCTCCCACTGACACCCCACCCCACTGACAGCTATACCCACTCACCCCCCCTCCCACTGACACCCCACCCCACTGACAGCTATCCCCACTCACCCCCCCTCCCACTGACACCCCACCCCACTGACAGCTATCCCCACTCACCCCCCCTCCCACTGACACCCCACCCCACTGACAGCTATCCCCACTCACACCCCCTCCCACTGACACTCCCTCCCAATGACATCTCCCACTGATATCCCCCCCACTGGCACCGCCCCCCATGACATCCCCCACTGACACCCGCCACTGCCATCCCCTCCCCCCCACTGCTCATCCAGTTAACACACTCATCAGCAAGGCCTTGATATGGAGGAAGTGGGGAGTTAGAGACCCGGGGATGGAATTTCAGAGAATGGAAATGGCAATCGATGCTCCTCCCTATCGCCCTCACCCCCATCATCTGTGGGTCAGCGTGAGGGGCAGTGTGTTGGGTCAGCGTGAAGGTCAATTTTGGGGTCACTGACTTACCTCTAACGATCGTCCCTTCACAGTCATCTTATCCCAGCATTCCCTCTTCACTACCTGACGCAGGTACTGATTGGCCAACTGGTCCAGTTCGATCTCCTCCCGCACCTTGTGACAGTGACACCCTATTAGTGTGTGTACCCCGGCCCATAGCCCAGCCCCAGCCCAGAGCTCAGCCCCCAACCCTGATCCATAGCCCCCAGACCATAACCCCCAAACCCTATCCCCCAACCCATCCCGCAGCCGCGAGAGTGAAGCCCTGTAGCGTGCCTTTCACCCCGGCCCTCAGCCCTGGCCTAATCCTAGCCACAAGCCCCCAGACCCCTGTACCTTGGCCACCTGCTCCTCCCCTTGCTTCTGCAGCTCTTGCTGCTCCTCCAGGTTCAGGTTGAATTCCTGACGATCCAACTGTTTGATCTCCGTTAACTCCTCGTTCTCCTGCATCATTTCTTGGATCTACACACACAATACATACACGTTACACACACAAACAGGCACGTGTTACACACACACCAACTAGCACGTGTCTCACACACACATCAACCAGCCATATGTCACACACACACTGACCAGCCATGTGTCACACACACACCAACCAGCCACATGTCACACACACACACCAGCCAGCCACGTCTCACACACACACCAACCAGCCACGTCACACACACACACACCAACCAGCCACGTCACACACACACACACCAACCAGCCACATGTCACACACACACACCAACCAGCCACATGTCACACACATACACACACCAACCAGCCACATGTCACACACACCAACCAGCCACGTCACACACACACACACCAACCAGCCACATGTCTCACACACACACACACACACACCAACTATCCACATGTTACACACACCAACCAGCCACATGTCACACACACACACACACACACACCAACCAGCCACATGTCTCACACACACACACACACACCAACTAGCCACATGTTACACACACACACCAACCAGCCACATGTCACACACACACACACCAACCAGCCACATGTCTCACACACACACACACACACACACACACACAGACACCAACCAGCCACATGTCTCTCACACACACCAACCAGCCACATGTCACACACACACACACACCAACCAGCCACACTCCAAGGTGAAGGGAATGTAGGATGGAGTTCCAAAGGCGGGGGCAGAGAGGCTAAAGGACCACCGATGGTGGGGTTGGCTGGGCGGGGGACTTGCGGAGTCTGCTGAGCAGAGGGAGTGGACAGGTTGATAAGGAGTTAGCAGGTCAGTGAGTTAGGAGGCGGCAAGGTCATGGAAGACCTTGAAGGTGCAGATGAAGATTTTGAATTCTGTCCTCTGAGGGATAGGGAGCCAGTGGAGCTGAACGAAGGTGGGGGTGATGGGGTCACGGAGTCCTGTGCAGGAGAGGACACGAGCTGCAGTGTTCTGATTATCTGGCGGGCGGGCTGGGTGGAGGCTGGGCTGGGCGGGGGCCGGGCTGGGCGGGGGCCGGGCTGGGTGGGGGCTGGGCTGGGCCCGGGCTGGGCGTGGCCGGACTGGGCGGGGGCCGGGCTGGGGCCTGACCGTGCTGCGGAGCTGGTGGATTCCCTTCCGCAGGCTCGCCTTCTCCTCTGCGTTCTTCCGATTGTCCAACCAGATAGCCTGAGGGAGAAATTATCACACTGTCCATCAGAGCACAGCACACACACAGCGCTCGCACACAGTGCGCGGACACAGTGCACAGACAGTGCGCAGATGTACACAGCGCACATAGTGCTCACACACAGTCCTCACATACAGCACAACCAGAGCTCGCACACAACGCGCAAACACACAGCCCACACAGTCCTCACACACAGAAAGCACACAGTGCTCACACAGTGCACACAGCACACATAGCGCTCACACACAGCCCCCACATAGCACACACACAGTGCACACACAGCGCTCACACACAGAGCGCGGGCGCACACATAACGCTCACACACTCAGCGCACGCATGCACACGGCGTGCACACACACAACGCTCACACACAGCACACAACACGCGCGCACACACACATATCACGCACACACATAGCATGCACGCAAACAGTGCACACAGAGCACAGTGCTCACACAGTGCACGCATACAGCGTGCGCGCACACACAGCACTCAAGACACACAGCCCACAGACAACGCATATACACACACACACATATCTCAACATGCACAGCGCACACACACACACACACAGAGTACATACAGCATTGCGGTCATGCACAGTATCTCAACAACAACAACAAAATTACACTTATAGAGCGCCTCTTAATGTCAGAAGGACGTCCCAAAGCACTGTACAGTCAGGTGTCGGGCCCGAGCATGGGGTAGGGGTGGTGTAGAGGTGAGGGAAGGCAGAGAGCTGGAAGGGAGACCAAAAGCACGGCCGAAGAGAAGGGTCTTGAGACCGGCCTTGAAGGAGGTGAGGGAGGAAGCGAGGGGAAGGGACTATGGGACGGAGTTCCAGAGTGTCGGGGCAGAGAGGCTGAAAGCCCGGCCACCGATGGTAGGGCGGGAGATATGGAGCAGCCGAAGCAGGTTGGTAGGGAGTCAGCAGGTCAGAGAGGTAGGAGGGGGTAAGGCCATGAATGGCCTTGAAAGTGAGGGCAAGGTTTCTTGAACCCGATCCTCTGGGGGATGGGGAGCCAGTGGAGTCGGGCGAGGGTGGGAGTGATGGGGTCACTGGTGCGTGAGAGGACACGAGCTGCAGAGTTTGGATGATCTGCAGCTTGTGGAGGGAAGAGTTGGGAAGGCCGATGAGGAGGGGGTTCCCGTAATCGAGCCTTGAGATGACTAATGTGTGGGTGAGGGTTTGGGGGCCTGAGGGGTGAGGCAGTGGCGGAGTCTGGCAATGTTGTGGAGGTGGTGATAGGCAGTGCCGTCATGGCGTGGACGTGGAGGAGAAGGACAGTTCAGGGTCAAACAAGACCCCCAGGTTCCTGACTGGCTTAGTGAGGTTGAGTGTGCAGCTGTTGATGCTGATGCTGCCAGTGCCCGAGTTGCGGAGGCGCTGGCGAGAGCCAATCAGGAGGGCCTCGGTCTTGCTGACGTTCAGTTGGAGAAAGTTGTCCCTCGTCCAGGACTTGATGTCGGACAGGCATTTGGTTAGGACGCTAGTAGTCCTGGGAGTTGAGAGTGGAGGCAGAGAGATAGAGTTGAGTGTCATCTGCACACATGTGGAAATTTACCCCATGTCTGCGGATAATGTCACCAAGGGGGAGTATTTAGAGGGTGAAGAGGAGGGGACCAAGGACAGAGCCCTGAGGAACACCGCATGAGACAGTGCGGGGGCTGGAGGAGGAGCCGTTTGCCACGACGAAGTGGAGGCAGTGTAAAAGGTAGGACCTGAACCAGTCAAGGACAGACCCTTGAGGTTGAGGTGGAAGCAGAGGCGGTGGAGGAGGATTGAGTGGTCCACTGTGTCAAAAGCAGCGGAGAGGTTGAGGAGGACGAGGAGGCAGATGGAGCCCTGGTCAGGATGTCGTTTATGACCTGGACCAGAGCAGTTTCCATTCTGTGGGCAGCACAGAAACCCGAATGGAGGGGTTCATGGATGGAGTGAGAGGAGAGGAAAGAGCGAAGCTGGGAGGCAACGGTTCTTTCAAGGACTTTGGATAGGAAGGGGAGATTTGAGATGGGCCGGTCGCTGGATAGCTGTGATGGATCAAGGGAAGGTTTCTTCAAGGTGGGGCTGATAGTGGCTGTTTTAAGGGGGGAAGGAATAGTCCCAGATGACAGGGAGAGGTTAATGATGTCGGTGAGTAGTGGGGCAAGGACATGGAGCTGGGATTTAAGGAGAGGAATGGGGATAGGGTCCATGGAGCAGGTGGTGGGCTTCATGGAGGTTACAGTGGTGAAGACAGAGGAGGGGGTGACAACAACAACAACTTGGATTTATATAGCGCCCTCCATGCCAGACGGCGTCTCAGAGCGCTTCACAGTAACGGATCCTGGGACTGAGCCAGGGGGAGGGGGGGAAGCTGACCGAAAGCGCGGTTGAAAAGGTCTTCAGCAGAGACCTGAAGTGGGAAGGGAGGGAGCGAGGTGAAGGGAGTTCCAGAGCCTCGGGGGATAGTGGCTGAAGGTACGGCCGCTGAGGGTGGAGCGGAGGACTCGGCAGACGAGCAGGAGGCCAGACCCGGAGGAATGAAGGCAACGGGTACTGTTTTGAGGAGAGAGGTCAGAAAGGTCGAGGGGTGCAGAGTGCAGGGACTTGAATACAAGGGTGAGGATCTTGAAATCGATCCTCTCTGGGATAGGCAGCCAGTGCAGTCTGGCCAGGACTGGGGGGATCGGGGAGTGGAGTTTTGTGCGGGTGAGAATGTGGGCGGCAGAGTTTTGAATGATTTGGATTTTATGGATGGTAGTGGATGGGAGACCGGCGAGGAGGGCGTTAGAGTAGTCCAGCCGAGAGATGACAAAGGCATTGACCAGGGTTTCAGCGGCTTTTGGGGAGAGGTATTGGCGGAGACGGGCAATACGTTGGAGGTGGAAGAAAGCGCTTCACAGGTAACAGGTTCAAAGGTGTGGAAGAAGGGATGGGTAATTGTCAGAGTGTGGGGTGGGAGTAGGGAGAGGGTGGAAGTTTGGGGGGCAGTGGTAGCTGAGTGGATTCCCTCGATTTTGGACTCGAGTAAGTCCAGCATTTTCTCGCAGTGAGAGTCAGAGGAAAGAATCTGTGAGCCGTGGCAGGGAGGGCAGAGGAGCCGGTTGATGGTGGAGAACAGGAGCCTGGGGTTGCCCTTTGCCTCCAGGATTAACCTGGAATAGAAGGATGATTTGGCTGAGGTGAGAGCGGAGCAATAGGTTTTGATGAGGTCCAGCCAGATGTGGCGGTGGACAGTTAGGCCGGATTTGAGCCAGGTGCGTTCGGCAGCCCGCATGTGGAGAAGAGTAAGCACAGCGAGTGGGTTGGTGCGAGAGGTGGGCCAGAGGAGGAGGATATCAGAGGACTCCAGGGCAGCGGAGAGGGACTGCGGGGAAATCTTCTTCCACGGGCAGTAGAAAACAGCGGTAGGTTTGGTGGCAGTGGGGAGAGGGATATGGGAGTTGAGGGAGAATAAATGGAGGTCAGAGATGACCTTGTCAATGATGGTGACATCTGAGATGCTGAGGCCCTGGGTGATCACCAGGTCGAGTGGGTGACTGTGGGGGTGGGTAGCAGAGTGGATGTGGAGTGAAAGGTTGGGAGAGGAGAGGAGAAGTCTGAGGAGGTGGAGCAGGAGGGGGTGAAGTGGAGGTTGAAGTCTCAGTCGCACAGCACCGTCTGCTCACCTTCTCCATCTTCCTCTGGAGCCAGGTGGTATCCCAGCCACCCTCCCAGATGGAGGAGCTGTGGATGAAGGGTTGCTCAGTGGAGTTGCTAGTGGGAGATACTTGACCGTCAGCATCCTCCTCAAATGTTAAATTGGTGTCCGACTGAAACGAGAGAGAGAGAGAGGGACAGTTTGGGGCACGAACCCATGGGCAATCCAGCCATGCAGTTGTGTGTTGCAGTGTGTGTGTGTGTGTACAGTGTGTGTGCAGTGTGTGTGTGCAGCGTGTGTGTGCATACAGTGTGTGTGTGTGTGTGTGTGAGTACAGTGCGTGTATGAGTACTGTGTGTGTGTGAATAGTGTGTGTGAATACAGTGAGTGTGTGTACAGTGTGCGTGGGTGTACAGTGTGTGTGTGTGTATAGTGTGTGTGTGTGTGTACAGTGTGTGTGCAGGCTGGCTAGCGGGGGCTGTATCTATCAGCTCACCAAGATGGAGATTTGTCTCTGCTTGTGTTGGCTGGTGTTGGCTATGATCCAGTCGGCCATGGCTCTCAGCACCCTGTCCTCGCTGGTGTAGAACTTCTCCAGCACGTTACTGAGTGAGCGGCTGTATTCCAGCGCTGCCTTGGACTTGGGGGTCACCACCATTTCAAACCTGGCAATTACAGCGCAAGTGCTTCACATATGTCAGGCATTTTTGTGTGTGTATATGACAGGAGTTTGCATGTTACATGTTTTGCACGTATCTATGTGTTGTGGGGGGGAGGTTAGCTGAATTGGCCCCAAGGTGACATGTTTGGCAATGGAATATCAGAATCGAGCCCCCCCCTCTGTGCCGGTATCTCTCTCTCTCTCTCTCGAGCCCCCACTCTGTGCCGGTCTCTAGTCCGGTTCCTGAGCCAGGAGGGGCCGCAGTATCCCAGGGCACTCACTGCTGATGGCAGCACAGCCCGGCCCGGCTCATCAGCAGGTCCTGGAAGGGCCGACCAGTCACTGGGGACGGGAATCTTCCCCCTCAGCCCCTGGTAACCCTGCAGCCAAAGCACTAACTAACAGAGAGGGTGGGCCTCGCAGGAAAGCACACACAAACACATACCCCACCCTCACCTGGTGGCCAGACACACCAGGGCTCCATCGTGCAGGCCGGCGGTCACCAGGTGCTGACAGTCTAAGGCGAAGGCCACGGTGCGAATTCCCTCAGTGCGGTAGGAATGACACTGAATCTTCAGACTCTTCTCCTGTGTGACAGACAGCTAGAGGTCACACATCGCTATAGTCAGGTGCCATCAGGTGCGGTGTGCTTCTGCAGTGCTGCTGCGGTGTTGTCGTGGTGTTGCTGAGTGATGCTGTGACGGCGCTCACCAGTTTGCCAATATCTCTGATCTTGAGGAAGCCGTCCCTGCCCACTGACAGCAGCCACTGGCAGCTCGGGGACAGCAGCAACCGCCCTGGCGCCAACTGGTGTCCCTCTACTTTCACCTGTGGCATCAGCGAGAATATACCACGTGCCTCGTCCTGTTCCCGAGAGAGATGGTGTGAGAGAGACAGTGTGCGAGAGTGCGAGAGTATGTGTGTGTGAGAGAGACAGTGTGAGAGAGTGCGTGAGAGAGCGAGGGTATGTGTGCGTGTGAGACAGTGTGCGAGAGTATGTGTGTGTGAGAGAGACAGTGTGTGAGTGCGAGGGTATGTGTGTGTGAGAGAGACAGTGTGAGAGAGTGTGTGTGTGTGAGAGACAGTGTGCGAGAGTGTGCATGAGAATGAGTGTGTGAGAGAGTGTGCGTGAGAGAGCGAGGGTATGTGTGTGTGAGAGAGAGTATGAGAAAGTGTGAGAGAGACTGTGTAAGATCTCTGTGTGAGTGTTTCAACGACCTATCCTCCTCGGTCACTCTTCTCCACAGCTCCCTTTCCTCTACTCTCGATTCCCTCGCTTCCGTCTCCTCCCGAACCGTCTCCTATTCACGTAAGTCACCACGGTACACCAGCCACCTCTGCTCCCTAAGAGCATAGGTGCATGCCGCTGAGCACATCTGGCTTAAATCAAACCTCACTGTCCACCGGCAGATCTGGCTGGACCATGTCAAATCCTACCGCTCCGCCCAGGCTCGACGATGCAAGCTCATTGCCTGTCGGCCTCCCCAACTCCTTCCTCCACAGGCTGCAGATCATCCAGAACACTGCAGCCCATGTCCTCTCCTACACCAGGCTCCGCGACTCTTTCACCCCCATCCTCGCCCAACTCCACTGACTTGCCATCACACAGAGGATACAGTTCAAGATCCTGTCTCTCTCTCACACACTCACCTTCAAAGCCCTCCATGGTCTCGCTCATCCCCTCCCGGTGCAACCTCCTAACCCCCTTGCCATCCTGCTCGCTCTCTCCGCTCAGCGGGCTCCGGCCTGCTTCATGTCCCCCGCCTCACTTGCCCCATTATTGCTGGGCGGGCGGGCCTTCTGCCCCCACCCTCTGGAATTCCATCCCACAGTCCCTTTGCATCGCCCCCATCAGGACCCATCACAAGATCCTCCTCTTCGACCGGGCTTTTGATCTCCCTGCTTCCCCCCACTGCCCTCCACCTTCCCCAAGCTCGGATCCGTAACTCTGTCAGTCCAGCACCTTGGTACGTCCTCCCGACATGAAAGGTGCTTTACACGTGTAATTTTGTTGTTCTTGTTGAGAGACAGAGAGTTTGAGAGGAGAGACGATGAGAGTGTAAGAGAGACAGAGTGTGTGAGAGAGAGACAGTGTGTGTGAGAGAGAGACAGTGTGTGTGAGAGAGAGACAGTGTGTGTGAGAGAGAGAGACAGAGTGTGTGGGACAGAGAGAGTGTGAGAGAGACAGAGAGTGTGAGGGACAGAGTGTGAGAGAGAGAGTGTGAGAGAGAGAGAGTGTGAGAGAGAGAGACAGAGAGTGTGAGAGGGAGAGACAGAGAGTGTGAGAGGGAGAGGGACCCAGTGACAGCTGAAGGAGACACAGAGTGTGTGATACAGAAAGTGAGAGAGACAATGTGTGAGAGAGTGAGTGTGTGAAAGAGACAGCGAGACTCAGTGACACCTGAAGGAGACACAGAGAGTGTGAGAGACACAGACTGTGTGAGAGAAACAGAGTGTGTGATAGACACAGAGAGCGTGAGAGGCACGGGGAGCCAGTGGCAGCCGAAGGAGAGACAGGATGAGGAAGGGAGACAGAGTGAGGGAGACAGAGTGTGACAGAGACAGAGAGACTGTGACAGCTGAAGGAGACACATAGAGCCAGTGACAGTGATATGGAGGTACCGTTGTAATGAGGAACTTGTGGATGGATTTGGTGGCGTTGCAATAGCCAAAGATATGGTTATTGTGGTGCAGAGCGACTGAGGTCAGGGGGAAATCCAGCTGGCATTTCAGCTTGTTAATGGTGCTCGTGGCCAACTCCCCCCGATAATTGGTGGCCTGAGAATAGTCTGGTACAGAGACAGACATGATTCAATTACATACATAATAGCCTCATCTATTACAGCCCCACATTAGTCTCTCATTACAGTCCCACATCTCAGCCCCACACTACAGTCTCTATTGCAGCACACATCACAGCCCCACACTACAGTCCCTCATTACAATCCCTCATTACAGACCCACATCTCGTTGGCTGTGCTGCCTCTGCAGTGGGGAGTGGGCGAGTACCTGCTAGCAGTTCTCCGGGCACCTCGAACAGGTCCAAGCTCAGGCCACCCACCACCTCGTCCATCGTGTAGGGCGTGGCCAGCGCCACCGCCGTCGCCTTCCTCCTCAGCTTCTCATAGGCCATCGACAGCCCCACGATCTCACTGCTCACATCTGGCATGACACACACACCACAGTCAGCCAGCCAGCCAGCAAACACGCACACACCACAGCCATCCAGCCAGCAAACACGCACACACCACAGCCATCCAACCAGCAAACACGCACACACCACAGCCATCCAACCAGCAAACACGCACACACCACAGCCATCCAACCAGCAAACACGCACACCACCACCACAGCCATCCAACCAGCAAACACGCACACACCACAGCCATCCAACCAGCAAAAAACACACACACACCACAGCCATCCAACCAGCAAACACGCACACACCACAGCCATCCAACCAGCCAGCAAACACGCACACACCACAGCCATCCAACCAGCAAACACGCACACACCACAGCCATCCAACCAGCAAACACACACACACCACAGCCATCCAACCAGCAAACACACACACACACCACAGCCATCCAACCAGCAAACACGCACACACCACAGCCATCCAACCAGCAAACACGCACACACCACAGCCATCCAACCAGCAAACACGCACACACCACAGCCATCCAACCAGCAAACACGCACACACCACAGCCAGCAAGCCAGCAAACACGCACACACCACAGCCAGCCAGCCAGCAAACACGCACACACCACAGCCATCCAACCAGCAAACACGCACACACCCAGCCATCCAACCAGCAAACACGCACACACCACAGCCATCCAACCAGCAAACACACACACACACCACAGCCATCCAACCAGCAAACACGCACACACCACAGCCATCCAACCAACCAGCAAACACACACACACACCAAGCCATCCAACCAGCAAACACACACACACACACACCACAGCCAGCACACACACACCGCAGTCAGCCAGGCACCGAGGAGCCATCACAAGCGGTGGGAGGTGGTGAGTGGGGGTGGCGGTGGGGTGGTTGTGAGCGGTGGGTGGGGGTTGTGGGGTGGCGTGTGGGGGTGTGTGGTGGGCGGCAGGGGGGGTGAGCGAGGTGGGAGTGAGCTGGGTGGGAGGTGAGCGGGGGGGGAGTTGTGTGGGGAGTAAGTGGCAGGGTGTTGTGGGGAGTGGTGGAGCGGGGGTGGTGAGCCGGGGGCATGAGCAGGGGGAGGAGTACCTGTGTAGCCGAGCACCCGGAAGTGTTTGGAGGGTCTGGAATCGAGGATGAAAATATAGCCGCTCGGCCCCGCGGTCACCAGGAAGCGGCCGATCTGGTCGTACCTGCCGTAACACACACACGCACGCACACACGCACGCACACACAGCTGTGACCTGGGGTTTGTGTAATAAGAACAATAGCCTTGCACACAGCAGCAGACCTGCTCCCAGCACTCCTGTGTGTGTTACCATAGTGTTTGTAGGTGAACTCGGCAGCCAGTTTGTGCACAGCTCTACATCCCCAACACAGCCATGAAGTGAGACTGCACTCACTGGGGGGGTGGGGGGGGTATAATAATCCTTGCATTTGATACAGTGCCTTATCACGTCTTTGATACGTCTCAAAGCGCTTCACGGAATATACTGTAAAATGAATTAACTATAGATTTTGTGGGCAAAATGAAGCAGCCAATTGCGCACAGCAGCGTTCCACAAACAGTTGTGGATTGAGTGACCAAATTATTATTATTTACTTAAGGGATTATTACCCCTGGAAAGTGATCCGACAATCGACTAACAACTGGGTTCCTACTTACTGCTAGTTAATAAGAGGGGTGTGGAGTAAGGAAACTTGGCTAAGGTTTTGCCCCGCCAGGAATCGAACCCAGGTCACTCGCTTGTTTTTACCACTAAACTACAGGGCTCCACAATAGGAGATTGCACTCACTGAGAGAGGGATGTAATGGGAGCTGCACTCACGGGGAGGGGGGTGCAATGGGAGCTGCACTCACGGGGAGGGGGGTGCAATGGGAGCTGCACTCACGGGGGGGAGAGGTGGTGTGTAATAGGAGTTTTACTCACTGGAGGAAGGTGATGGGCTTGTTGTTCAGGAAGGTCCTCTGTACCAGCCGTGGGGACTCCACCGTCGTCAGGTCAATATAGTACAGGTGCCCCGACGTGGC